TATATCTATATGGCATTTCCTTTTTTAAACAATTTCAAATGCTTGCCATTACCTCTGGGACAGAGTTGAACCCAGGGCCTGGCCGGCCAGGCTGATCCGTAATCCGGCTCCTGATCCTTCATTGACCTGGCAGCCCGTGCTTCCTCAAGTCAGTTAGCATTTATCGACCGTCTGTTCTGTGTTGATGGGACACACGTGTTTGCCAAGCACACACAGTATTCACACTCACTAAGTCCTTCACCCTGGGTGGAGCTTCTGTAAGTTTGCTTCATAAACTTACTCCTTAAATCCTCAAAGAACCCCGTGAGGTTTGTGCAGTCGGCTTCATCGCATCCAGAAGTGAGGCACAGAGAGGTGCGGGCACTGGGCCAGGGCTGCCCAGCTCGCACAGGAGAGCGCGGGGTCTGGACCCCTGCCCTCTGGTGCCTCGGGCGCTGAGTAGACTTTGTCCCTCCGCCTTCATCATGCATCTCTGCGCCCACGTCCGTGCCCGGGCCTTTCTGCCCCCCCGCGCAGGCTCCCTCTGGATGGTCATTTCTCACTGTTGATCCCAGGCAGACTCTTTGCCGAAAAGCCACTCTGACACCCACCCGCGTGCCCCTCCCCCTCGCTAACCACAGAACCTAAAGTGTGTGCTTTCTAGCGTCAGTCACACACAATCCTGTGACGAATGGTGGCTTGTGAGTCAACTCTCCAGGGTGTTTATATGCACTGCTTCCCCAAACAGGTGGTAAGTTCCTGGAGGGCCAACAGAATGTGTGCACTACAGCATGTCGTTGGGGTCCCTAACCCACAGCTGTGCAGGTGGCAGGCGTTCACCCGCTGTTTGTTGAGTGACTTTCGGCCTGCCTCCTCCAGGAGCCATCCTCCCTGACAAGCACGCTGGCCACCAGATGTCTGAGTGGTAGTACTTTTCTCACATCGCCTCCTCTTCCTAGAGCGCCGTTCCTCCTCGGAGCCGATGGATTTTACTTGCCTTCCGGGGTGTGGCTCGGGGGCCTCACATCCAGGAGCCTTCCGTGACATGCATCTCCAGGCTGCTGAGGCCCGCCTCCTCTGCATTTGCCCGACGCCTTCTCTCCTATGTCACAGCACGCTGAAGGGGGTGCGTCTGTGCCTAGTTGTGCATCGCTGGACTATGAGCCTCTCGAGGACAAGCGCTGTGTCTTATAGCGTCAGGTCCTCAGTGCTGAGTGCAAGGCTGCCATCTGGAAGTGCTCCGTGAATGCTGGTAGAGAATGAGCGAGTGGGTCAATGGATGAAAGCAAACAGAGCCGTCCTGGCGTGTCTGTAACGGCCTGCCTGGTGAGACCGGGTGAGACGCAGAGCGTGTCCATGGAGACGGTCCTGTCTCAGTTGGCCAACACTTTCTGATAGATGTGGACTAGCTAAGACCATAGCGCATCCTTGTCAGTTCAGTTTAATTTTAAACACCAACTGTGTGTCAGCAGTCGCCACCTAGAAGATGATGCTTCTGATCCCCTAGCATCTCAGGCACCACGCCAGCTTCATCCTCGTAATTGGGACCGCACCTCTGGTCAAACCGCCTCCGCTCTGTTGCCCGAGTGGTCCGCCTTTCAGACTCATCCAGGGGCAATTTGCCACCTTCAAGCCGCACTCTGAGGCAGGGCTGAATGGCCAGCAAGCTTTCACCGACTTCTGCTTCACGAGTTGGATACTTTCCAGCGGTCGGCGGAGGGAGACAGTTCTAGATGGTTCTCCCAAGCATGAGGTGTGATCGTCTCATTTGATATACTTACTGTGCTGACAGCGCTGGCCCAGGCTCCCGGCTCCTCGGCTGGGGGACTGTCCATTGTTCTCCAGTGTATGATTAGCAGATTAGCGTTGGTGTAAGAAGCCAAGAAAATGAACTCCCAGTAGGCCCTTCCAAAGCAAGAGCAATTCATTACCCAGCCTGATTTCCGCTTAAAATGTACTTTACGCACACTTCCAACTACAAACACTAAATCACCCCGTGTTCGCAAGGTCCATCATGTTTTATTTTATTGCACGGCGTTGGCGTGACATAATCCCTCGCAGAGCGTCTCGGAGTGCTTTACAGATCAATAAATTACTTACCTGCGGAGCTGAGGCGATCTCCGCAAGGCCATCAGAGCCATTCTGCAGGCCGCCTGTCCTCTGGGAAACAAGCAAGGCCGGGCAGTGCCAACGGGGTGCGGATCAGGGCCACAGGCATGATTGCGGGTGGGGGCGGGGTTTCAGGAAGTGCATGTGCCAGTTAAAACTCCGAGAATGAAAGACTTCAAATTAAAATGACTCTAGAATTCAGAGAGCTTAGGCATTTGGGTCTTTCAGACAGTCAGCAAATCACGTGTTCAGTCATTAACTCATCAATTATCTTTCTCTCCTGGAAGCTTCAATCTAGCTTGTAAAATGGTGCGGCCATAAATTGCAGGGTTGTGCTTTGGATCTGAGAGCCAGTGGTCATCCCCAGCCTTCACCACATCAGCTCTCCATTGTTTCTGTCCTGCCAGATACCTGTGAGGGAGCAGGTAAGCGTGTGTGCAAGGGTGTGCACACACACACAGAAGCTGCCTCTCTCTACCTGCAGCCCCATGCGGATCTCAATCTAAAGATGATCAGCCGGTGCTTGCTTTATGCAGGGCACTGCATTCGTTCGAGACGCTGCTGGCCCAGCATCCTACACTGAGCTCGTTTATAGCGTAGGAGGAAGACGAGACGCCTGTAACACAAGCGGGTTTGTTTCAATGGCCTGGAGGAGGCTGTGGGCTCCCGGGAAGGAGAGGCCGCGTCCTCCTGGAGGTCGGCGGGGAGGCCTCGTGGAAGGGGCGGCAGCTCAGCCAGGCCTTGAACAGTTCTGATCAGTTTAGACAGTTGGAGAAAGAGTCAAGCGACCAAAACCGGGGATTGAGGATCAGGAAACGAAAGTTCAGGCGCCCTTGTTAGTAAGGGTGCCCAGCGGGGTGGGCACGCAAGAGCTGCGGGAAGGGAAGGGACAGCTATGAGCCGGTACGTCGCCACACCCCCTTTCCTGGAGGAGAAAATCCAGCAGCATCGGGGGCGAGTGCTGAGTGGCTCCGGGAGAGGGAGGATCACACAGAAAGTTCCAGCCAGTCTGACCTGCACGTGGGGGTCGCACTCCGGCCGTGCCCTCATCGGGGGAGTAAGGTGGCTGTTTGGCTTGTCTGGGGTCTCTTGCAGGCTGATGGCATTGTGTCCCGGGGGAGCACGTGTCCTGGGAAGGCACATGGCGGTGGCTCGGAGGCATACCGATTCAAGGAGACAAACTGACCTGAGGACGCCTGAAAGACCCGGACAGGGGGACCCACTTAATTTGTGAAGAACTAACATGTCAAAACCAGTGTCAGTAGAACTGAAATGACATGTGTGTTAATGGCTCTGTTCTGAGGTTGTCACAAGCCTGTAGCTGGTCGGGGAGGCGGTTCCCTTGAACAATCATTATCATCTCATTCTACACATATTTGTTTAATTTTTACTGGGGGTAGAAACAAAAGTAAGACCTGGCTGAAGCCGTCGAAAAGCCCATGGTCCAGCAGGGGAGAGATGCTGGGCGAGTAACCACAGCACGGTGGGAAAATGCCAAGGACTGGAGTTGGGGTGGGTAGACAACGCATGACCCCCTGACCTTATAAACCTGTTGGCAGACAAGGTAAACGAGCAGTCATATGCGAACCAAACATCACGTTCCTGGTGGTAAAGATGATCCCGGGGAATTAGGCTGAGATGTGCAGCAACGGTGAGCTTGCAGTTCTGAGCCCCAGGACGGGACAGGTGCACGGCGCTGGCTGCGGCGTGGGATGCAGCCTCCCAAGGGCACGCTGCCGCTGAAACAGCAGTGGGAGGTGCCCGGTGTGGTGCAGCTTCCGAAGGGAACCCCAGCTCCAAAACAAAAAGACTGAATGAAGTCTGGGGATCCAGCACCCAAGTTTACCAGTTGGAATGAACCCCTCCCTTCCTGGGCGAGCGTGATAGAAGATACAGAGAGAGAGTAAAGACCAGTGTGTTTTGACCCTCGGGGGCGTGTGATGGATCTGGGAACAGAGAAGAGAGGCAGTGGTCAGTGTGAGGTGGGCAGGGAGGGGGAGGGAAAGCTGCAACAAAGTGGCGTTTGATTCGGGTCTAAAGGGACGACTGGGAGTTTCCCAGCAAGGACATCAGGAACCACGTAAACCCCAAAGGCAGGACGGCCAGTGATGCGCTGGGGTGACAGTGGGGCAAGTGGAGGTGGGATCCCGGGGCGTCAGCGGGGACAGAGGCTGGCGCTTGCCTCTGAACGGCCCGGCTTGCGAGGATAAGGAGCTGGGGTGTTACCAGGTCGGCAGCCGGGAGCGACCGGAGGGGTCTAGGCAGAGACGCCGCTTGGTCAGAATCGCATCGTATGAGGACGCTGTGAAGGCGGCGTGGAGAACGAGTGGGCGTGGGTGGTGACGGTGGGGACAGAGGGGGCCGGAGGCGGGGAGCAGGTACTGCAGGGCTGCGGTGGACCCGTCCCTTCGGGCTCTGCGGCTGCGTTTGGACAGGAGGCACCGCAGGTCAGCTCAGGATGCCTCTTCCGTGTTGAAGGCCTTCCCCCTGGTTCCTCGTCGTCTCTGCAGCCCCTGTCCCTCAGCCCCCGCCTACTCGGCCCACTGCCGTTTAGGACAACAGAGAAACGCTCCAGCAGGGCTCTCATTTCCCTTCTTCGGTCTTGTCTCCACAGTCTCTCCCAAAATTGTAGAGATTTCTTCGGACGTCTCCATTAACGAAGGCAACAACGTCAGCCTCACCTGCATAGCGACGGGCAGACCGGAGCCCACGGTCACCTGGCGGCACATCTCCCCCAGAGGTAAGAGAGGCGGCTTGCTGCGGTGTCGCGAGACCAGGCGGGAGGTTTGCTGGCCGTGGACGGAGGTGATGGCGCTGGTGGCTTGGTCCAAGTAGCCTGGTGACAAGACTCCATGGCTCTTCGTGGCCCCTAGGAGTTCAGAAGTCACGCCTGGGGGCCCTCCCACCCCTGGGAACCTCATCCCGGATGTTTCTGGGTGACGCGGTGGTAAGATGTTCCAGGGGTTAGATGTGCTGGTCGCGCGTGATGGCGGAACAGCCGGCTTTGGTGGTGGCGTTCGGCTGGCTGCTTTAAGAGAGAAAACACAAGCGCCCAGTGACGAGTGAGAGCTCTGAGCGGCCGTGCTCCTCAAGGAAAACTTTCCAAGCATGCGCGTCTTCACTGTTGCCAAAGGTCTGGTGGCCAGTCCACGCGTTGCTCTGTGGTTTGGTTGTCATCCTGCTCTGGTTGGTCCTGGGTGACCCACAGGACTGCGTGCGTGCCTGAACTGCGAAATTTACTTTGTCTGGATGTCCAGGTGTTGTGCAGACCAGACCAAGAGCTGTCTCGCGCCTTCACGGGTTGAACTTTTAGAACTTAGGGCCAGATGTCCTTTGTTAGTAAGCTAGCGTGTGTGCACGGTCCATGGTGTTATTTCAGTTGTTCTTAAACGTCTGCTGAGCGCTTGGGGGCTTAGCAATAAACCGAAGCAGACAAAGAGGCATGAGCTCGCACTCACGAGCTCACGTTCTCCGGAGACAAATAACCAAAATGATAATAACACAATAGGAGGTGACACGGATGAGAAGACAGAGCAGGGCACGAGGTGACATTTGAGCAGAGGCATGACTGAAGGTCCTTAATTTCACGGCTCCTGTCCGGCCAGCGTGAACAAGGCTTAGGTAAGTGTCTCTGTGTGTGCCTGACGGCGTGTGCGCTCCGAGTGGTGTGGCGTCAAAGCAGCTGAAGGAACCGCAGTGGTGGTCGTTTGCCTGCGGTTGCAGGATGGGTTCCACTAATGCAGACCCTGCAGGACGTTTGTCGGCGGTGCCCCTGGGGTCGGCCCCGGGAAAGGGGAGGGAGGGTGGCAGGTCCGTGCAGTCCATTGGAACATCTCTGCTGACCCCGCGCTGAGGTCTGGACACAGGGTGACCCTCCAGGAATGTCCTTGATTGAGGCTGTGGGGGTGGCCTCTTAGACCAGCACAGCCATCGGTCACGGAATCTGGGCTGTCCCCAGAGAGGCTGTGACCTTGGCCAGGAGTCTCTTCATAGGAGACAGTCCCCACGAGGGGCTGCAGCTTGGGGCTTCCAGCCACTGGGGCAGGCGACCTCCGTTCCTGGGCACAGTGGAGCATCCCAGTGTCCACTACACCGGGCGTTTGGAAACCAGTCAGTTTAAAGCTGTGCCTGAGCCCCCGTAGCGAACCCCCTCCGTCGCAGTGACAGTTTGCCCTGGTAGAGGATCTCAGAGGAGGTGCGAGGTTTCCTGTGTCTGGGCTGGCGTCCCGGGCGCTGTCTCCTGCCACCCCTCCCGACACCCCTGCTGTGAGGGGAGGAATCTGAGAGCTGCTCACGTCTGCCACTCTCTCGGTTTGAAATGACCTCGCACGTGGGCTGGCCCACAGTCTGGGAGGAGGCCTCCGCTGGGCGCGAGGCCATGCGTGATGGAACGTGGGGCCAGGGCACGTCCGGAGGAGGGGCGTCCAAATGGACAGGCACTCTCGTCCGCGGTGCGCGCCGTGCATCGCTGCTTAATGCCGAGCCCCCCCGGTCCTCGGGACCGCCGGATGCCGGGGCGGCGGGTGCACTCAGGGCCGGCAGGACATTAATCATCACCGTGGACTGCGGCCCTGTGTCCAGAGGCACTGCGCCCCCTCCCGCGGGGCCCCTCTGTCTCCCTTATGATGTTTTGGCTCCTCTCTCCTCCGCCCTTTCTGGGCCCTTCTCTCCTCTCTTCTTCATTTCCTTCTCCTCCTTTCTCCTCGCCTCCTCGCTCCCCTCTCTCCTGTCCCTCACGTCCCCGGTCATTCCGTTTCACTCCACGCTGTCCTCCCTTTCTCCTCTCCCTCCCTCCCCGTCACTTCCGTCCCCTCTCTGGCCTTGGCGCCCCCTCCGCTCAACCCGGTGCCTTCGAGTCCTTCCCCCTGCCCGGCCGACTGGCTGCCTCGCTTCCCCAGGGGCCTCCCCTGGGCCCGGGTTGGATGCATCCGTTCTACTGGAGGTTAAGCTGCTACGGAAACAGAAGACGGATCACGGGGAGAGGAGCGGATGATCAGAATCTACCTGCAGCTCAGAGTAATTCAGACGAGCAGCTTTTTCCAGATCCCTGGTCTGGATTAGCCACCCCGGGTCCAGGCTGACGAGACAGCCAGGCGGTGACTAACCACCGCGGGGCGTCTCAGAGCGCACGCTCCGTGGCTGATTATTTGGAGATCAGAGCTGTCACTGGGCTGCTGCCAAGCCCGGGCAGAGGCGGGGGACCCTTCACAGCCAGGCCTTCATCTTTCCCCACTAAGCGGTTCCACAAGGCTGCTTATTCTCCACACGGTGGGACAGGCGTGGCTTCCTTGGAGAAAAAGATACACGCGAGCAAAGGCTCCCGGGGCCAGCAGAGGCTGCGTCTCTCTCCCCAGTCCTGTGGGCAGGCCCCGCTTCAGTCAGGGTCACCGTCACCCGCACACTCGGTAGGGCCCCGATGGAGGGTGACCCAGCCTGAGCGCTCTGGGCCACCTTGGTGGCTTCGTGGCGGGTTCTCCCCAGACTGAGCTCTTGGCTCTGCACGTTTCTGAGATGCGCTAGTTTCCTCTATCGCAATCCGCGTGGTGCTCCTGGCTATAAGCTCATGCAAACCTCTTTGCTTTTTAGAAAAATTACGGAGGTGACGTTGGTCTATAACATTATATAAGGTCCACGTGTAACGCATGGTGTTCTGGCTTCTGTAAACACCACAGCGAGCTCACCACTGGACCAGTTTTCATCCATCACCATCACCACTTCACTGACCACCCCCTGCCCCGCCTCCCCTCCGTACCAGTTACTCCGGCCTTTGTAGCCGCGCATTTGGTTTGGTGTGTGCATTTGGTTTGCTTTTCATATGTTCCACATGGAAACGAGGTCCTGTGGCTGCTGTCCTCCTCTGCCTGGCTTGTCCCACTCAGCAAAGGTCCCAGCCTCGACCACCTTTTATGTGGAGAAGAAATGCAGAAATGTTTACCAGCAGCGTGTGAGTGGCGGCTGGTGCATCCAGATGCACAGGCGCTGGGAGTGATCTGCAGGGTTGGGGGGGCTTTCTCAGAAGGTTGTCCACCTGGCACTTCACACCAGGTGGGGAAAATGTCCCTTGTCCTCCTTCAAGACAGAGATGGAGGTGAGACTCCCAAGCGACCCCTTGGCGTCGCCATGGGTCGTGAACGATAGCGTTCCACCTGTCATACTGGTCGTATGTCTTTTTAGATCCTCTCGTGAACTTCCAGCTCCCAGGCGTTCAAAAGGCAGGTGCACGAGTTTTGTAGAGATGCCGGCCCTCGCTGTGCACACCTGCTGTGAAGGGTACAGGTGTCGCGGGCACCTGCATGGGCCTTGGTCTTCTCAGGAGGAAGAGCCTGTCTCGCTTTCCTATGCAGGAATCCCACCCGGAGCTGCACGACTGTTCTCATGGCCCCTCCCCAAATCCCATGTGTGAGCCTGCTGCTCGGGTGCTGGAGCCCAGCCCTGGGCCCACAGCGTCCATTAGTCAAGCTCCCTCAGCTGCGTCTACCGTGTCTTGCCGGAACGCGCAGCCCTGACCCTCTGGTCTCCCCGCCTCCTCCAAGCCGTCCTCTGTTCCTCTGCGTCTTCTACGTCAACAGATACACCATCCCTTTCAGTGTATCCACAAAGAGGCTAAAGACCTCACATACCAGAGAAAAGCGTTCTCAGACCCATTGTTACGTCCCCAGCTTCTGTGGGCTGTCAGAGCTTCAGAGAGAAGGCTGCGAGGCCTGCGTCCCCATCATGAGGCCCAGGTTAAGGCACGAGTCTGATCACTGATGCGTGCTGCCCTCACCACATGGGGGGTCAGGGTCCCAAGTGCCCTAATGGAGACGCCAGCTTGTGTGCACCTGCGTCAGCCTTTCTCCCATCAAATAAAACAGTGAATATAATGATCTCACCAAGTCTGCTGAGGGGGCGCCTCCGACCTGGCCGTTGGTTGGGGCTCAGTAAGGACCAGTGGTCTGTCCCCAGAGGTGTCCTCACTTCCGATTCTTGAGTCCTTGAGACCAAGGCCTACATCTCACTTGTCTTGGCTTCGCCGCCTCCTAGCACAACGCCCAGCCCCTGGAAAGCGTCTAAGAAGCATTTGTGGATTCAGTTGACAACGATTGTGTTTGCAACACCCCGGAGGGCATGGCTGGTCTGGGTTCAAAGCCTCCATCCCGGCCCTGGGGGGCGTCTCCCCCACGTGGATGCTGCGCTCCAGACCTGCTGTGTGTCCTGCCGAAACTGCCGCTGAGTCTGCAGGGTGTTTCCTGTGGCCGTGGCAGGTCCGCCAGCCTGTCCCCAGGTCCCCTCATGCGGAGGCTGCTGCAGGGCTCGACTTCTCCTTGAAGGAATGACTCCTTGGCAAGGTCTCTTTTGCAAGGGTTGGGGAGGCCCACGAGAATCTCCGAAGGTGGGTCCTGGGCGGGCTCCCTCCGCCCTCAGCGCTGCTCGCCATGGTCACTCTCAGGACATCAGTGTTTCTCTGACGGGTGATTCACCCAGTCCTCCCGGGGTCCTTAGTCCCTTTGCCAACTCAGCCTCCCCATCCCTCCCTGTGCCTCAACCCTCAGTGGCCCCCAGCGGTGCTGTAAGCCAATCCTGGGTGATGTCGGAGAGTGAATTCAGCAGTCTGTGAAAACGCGCCGCTCCTCATGGGTTAAAAACAAACAAAAAACACTAAAAATGCAACGAAAGAAATCAGTACAAAAAAGAGAAGTATTGTTTTAAAACCTCTCCCCTCCGCCCTCCGTGTGTGAACCCAGGTGGGGTGGAGATGGT